GACCGTGAGATCGTGACCTGGCTGAAGTCGGACGCTTAACCGACTGCGCCACCCAGGCGCCCCAAGAGCTTTTTTAAAAAAGAGATAAGGAATATGTATACAAGGATATGCTTGGAATTTCTTTTATGTTGATACTAAAAGTTTTCCACTAAAGAGCCAGCCCACCCCACAGTACTTCTGAAGCAGTTTTATTCCATATGATGGTCATGGAAAGATTCACCGTTGTCTTCTTTCCTAGAAATTGAGAGAGTTGACGATCATCTGCCTCAGCACTTAGAAAATCTCAAAATGCCGAAGAGGATGGAACAGTGTTATGAACTGAACACATGTGGAAAGACTGTTCATCAGAGCAAAAGTCATTTTCCTTTCAGGCCAAATCATGATAGGTTTCATTTACATGGAAAAACTTTGAAGCCACACTTAATCAACCGAAGTAGAAGCTGTGACAAAGAGCCTGCTGAGTCTGGTGGAGACGGGAGATCCTTTCTCAGTGCTAATCACAAGCAAACTCACACTGAAATTCAATTCCATGAAAGTAGAAGGCCCACCAGCACTACATCACAATTCCTTAAACATCAGCAAATACACAAAATAGAGACGGCCCACGAATGTCCCGAATGTGGGAAAGCCTTCCTCAAGAAGTCTCGGCTCACAGAACATAAGAGAATTCATACAGGAAAAAAACCCCATGGGTGTAGTGTATGTGGGAGAACCTTCTCCAAGAAGTTCAAGCTCACTGAACATCAGCGAATTCACAAAGGCGAGAAACCCTATGAGTGCTGTGAGTGTGGGAAAGCCTTCCTCAGGAAATTTCAGCTTACTGAACATCAGAAGACTCATACAGGAAATAAACCCCATGGCTGCAGTATATGTGGGAAAGCATTCTCCAGAAAGTTCAAGCTGACTGAACACCAGAGAACTCACACAGGAGAGAAACCTTATGGATGTACTGAATGTGGCAAAGCCTTCTGCAGGAAGGCAGAACTCATTATACATCAGAGAAATGAAAGAGGAGAAAGGCCCCATCAGTGCAGTGAATGTGGAAAAGGTTTCGCCAGAAAATCACAACTCATTCTACATCAGAAAACTCATACGGGAGAGAAATCTTATATATGCAGTGAATGTGGAAAAGGTTTCATTCAGAAGGGCAATCTCCTTATACATCAACGAACTCATACTGGAGAGAAACCCTATGGATGCATTGAATGTGGTAAGGCCTTCAGCCAGAAGGCGTGCCTGATAGCACATCAGCGATTTCATACAGGAAAGACTCCCTTCGTATGTACTGAATGTGGAAAATCTTGTTCACAGAAATCAGGACTCATTAAACATCAGAGAATTCACACAGGAGAGAAACCCTATAAGTGCAGTGACTGTGGGAAAGCCTTCACTACAAAGACAATGCTCACTGTCCATCAAAGAACTCATACAGGAGAGAGACCCTATGGATGCAATGAATGTGGGAAAGCTTTCTCCCACATGTCATGCCTTGTTAAACATAAGAGGATACACACAAGAGAGAAACATGTAGATTCAGTGAAGGTTGAATATTCTTCCACAGAGGGTCACAGCTTATTAGATACTAGTGAATTCATGCAGGGGAAAAGCCATGTTAATACAGTGACTGCACAGATGCCTTCCACGATCCCTCAGACCTCATTAAACATCAGTGGGCTCCTCGCAGATAGGAATGCGGTCCTAGTGGGACAGCCAGCTGCCAGATGTGCACCCTCAGGAAATAACGGAGAATTTGTACAGGAGAGAAACCTTATGAATGCAGCGAATGTGGTTGTGCCTTCAGTGGTCAATTACATCTTATTTTATGTCACGAAAAACACATAGAAAAAACCTGGTACATTCAATTAGGAAAAGCCTTGAGCAATAATGTCTTGCTGATAATATGGTTATACACAAACAAAACCCATGAGTGCAGAGGCTAGTTTTAGAAGACCGACTCTGTCTGTCATCAGTGATCAACATAGCTCATCAGGGAGCTTATAGTGAGTAGAGACATGGCAATAGTGGGAAAGTCCCTACCCTTAATATGTGTCAGTTCACACTGAGGAGAAACAGGAGGCAATGAACGTGGGGCACCTAGGTGGCTCAGGTCATGATCTCACGGTTCGTGAGCTCAAGCCCCGTGTCGGGCTCTGCGCTGACAGCTCAGAGCCTGGAGCCTGCTTCAGATTCTGTGTCTCCCTCTCTCTCTGCCCCTCCCCCGCTCAGCTCTGTCTCTCTCTCAAAAATAAACATTAAAAAAAAAAAAGGCAGTGAACATGGCTGGGATTTCAGTGGTACATTCTGCCTCATGCATTAGCAGGTAAAATCACAGAGAAATAAAACTCTGTTAATCCACTAATTGTGGAATTCCTTTAACGAAATACTAAAGTTCTTGTGAAACAAAGGTTTGTGAAGATGAGGAACATTTGAGAGTTTTATGTACCTTTTCTAATTTGACCTTTATGTCATGTAATACACCTGATGTACATTTTCAGACAGGGTACCTTGAACCACATTCCTAATTACCATGTTAGTGATTCCATAATTTAGAGGAGATAGTTTCTGCCCTACATCACTGGCTAACATTATCACACTATATTCACTTTTCCCGTTTGTGGATTCTTTTTTTCTTTTAATTTTGTTTTAGAGAGAGAGAGTGTACGCATGTGAGCTGGGGATAGGGGCAGAGGGAGAGAGAGACTCAAGCATGACCCTGGGATCGTGACCTCCACTGAAATCAAGAGTTGGAAGCTCAACCAACTGAGCCATTCAGAATTAAAACAGGGCCAGGAAGAAATTAAGTAAATAATAAAACAGGGCCAGAAAGGACCAAACTTTCCAAGTAACCTCAGGTGTACCTCTTTCTCTTTTTCTAAAATTTTCTTCAATTCTAAAATTCCTCAGTGTCATATAATGTTTACCCTGTTGGATTTCTTTGGCTTTAGATTTTATTTCAGGCAACTGAAGTCCTTCAAAAAGAAATGAATATTTTAAACTCATGAATATAATTTAATGTCCTTTGATGAGTTTAAGTTCAATTTAAAAATAAGAGCAAGCATTACACAATGTCACCATAAAAGTGATTTTTAAAATTTTCTAGACCTGAAAAGATAGAGAAACCAGGTTTGCAAAATGAACTAAAAGCCCAAGTACAATTAGTAATTTAAACCTACACATTAGATAAAATACATTCCAACAAAGCTCTCAGTAGTCATTTTCGAAAACATGAGAAAGTAAGGTAGGCAATTTGAACACAAATTAAAAGGATTACTTCCATCCTAGCTCTCCCTGTCCCTTCCCTGATTATTGAATTCTCAGAATGCTGGGAATCTGAAGTTCTAAATGCCTGGATAACTATCCAGTTGCCTCCCCTTGGAGGCAGTACCCTGTCTAACCCTAACTTTTGCTTCATTGATGGAACCACCCCAACATTCTTCCTGGTATCTATTCCCATTTTCTCTCAACTCAGAGGGACTCTGAGTCCTACAAACATGAGGAAGACAAAAGTAGATCTTCATAGAATCAGCCTTGGACTGGTATCTCATGCTCCACAAAGCCAGAGAGACTTGGATTTGGACCTAGAGTAGGCATAGGGTTTCTGGAAGAGTAGGGTGAATCTAGTGCTGGAATTACTGAAGGCCTGTAACCAGCCTGGAAAGTATTTTTGGAATCTGATATGTATAATTAGTTAAATGTAGTCAGGGGTAATCACAGGGGCTGGCATAAACAATACAGGAAGAAGTTCAGACCACGTCTACTGGTGAAAAACTGATCTGAAAAGGGCATGAGGTCAGGTCTCAGGGAGAAACTAAAGGTAGAGGTCTGTCAGACGAGATAGTTGAGTGGCATTTAGGCAGTTGATTTTTTTTGTAAATCAGTGACATAAACACCACTAGAATTACTTGGAGAGAACATTTCACTTGTTTTCTTCGAGATTTTGATATGGAATATAAAGACGTATATACGTATAAATGTTACCAATTTTAATACAAACCATATTGCAATATCAACTTTATGAGCAAGTGTAAGGTCTTGAATGTAAGTTATACACTGTAAAAGTTAGACTATAAGCTTCATGAGGGTAGGGAACTTCTGATAACCCCTGTATACAAGATGTCTAGAAGAATATGTGCTATAGGGTAGGCACTTGATGCACATGGTTAGTTGACTGAATCCCATCCAATAAGCAATCTTGTCTTGCTTAACTGAGATTTAAAGCAGGGCCAGGAAGAAATTAACTAACCAAATAATAAAACAGGGCCAGAAAGGACCAAACTTTTCAAGTAACCTCAATGTATCCCAAAACAATTCTTTGTAAGAGGGGCGCTTCAAGAATATTTGTAAGAGAGGCGTCTGGGTGGCTCAGTCGGTTAGCATCCAACTCGGTTTTGGCTCAGGTCATGATCTCACAGTTCGTGGGTTCGAGTCCCATGCTGGGCCCTGCACTGACAGTGCAGAGCCTGCTTGGGATTCTCTCTCTCTGGCCCCTCTCTCTCTGCCCCTCCACCCCCACTCTCCTCTCCCTCAATAAATTAACTAAATAAATAAATAGAGTGCAAAAATATCCTGATCTCCCCTGTTGTACCTACTCCCCCATAATCCCATAATAAAGTTGACAAACTTATCAGGCAGGAAAATGTGACCGGTGTTGAAAGACCAATCAAAAGTGACCTAGAACTGATATCAATGCTAGATTGAGCGAACAAGGACATTGTATCAACGGTTATAGCTGTATTCCATTATATCAAAGAGAGGAATGATTAACATGTTAATAACAACAATGTCTTGGGTTGATAAGATATGTAATACATTTTACTTCATATTTTATAAACCTTCCCAGAATACTGTTGTTTGTTCACTATCT